TGACGGGGATCCTTCCCTACCAGCAGAATACAATGATCACTGCGACCAGCTGTAGCCGCTGGCGGTGATCGCAACAAAAAATCGCATCCAACAGGCTGGTTGTGCTGAAGCTGACCAAGTTCAGTACAATCAGCTGCCCATAAATGGATCGAAATGTGGCCGGTCCTTGCTGAACCGGCCGAATTCTGATCCGTCTAGGGCTGGCTGAAGTTTAGGTGTTGGCTATTTAAGGGTTAAGGGGATGACTTGGGGCTCAGTTAATGGAAAATTTGGGTTGGGCGTGTTGTAGTAAGACAGCCTTGTTCAAACTTGTTACCCCAAAGAAATTCCTTAAATCATTTTCAGGTTTCGGGTAACCTTACTAAAATCAGTTCATCAAAAATGCTCCTTACATTGGTGATCAGTGGGAAGAATGTCCCTTACATTGGGGGGTCAGTGGGAAGAATGTCCCTTACATTGGTGGTCAGTGGGAAGAATGTCCCTTACATTGGGGGTCAGTGGGAAGAATGTCCCTTACATTGGGGGGTCAGTGGGAAGAATGTCCCTTACATTGGGGATCAGTGGGAAGAATGTCCCTTACATTGGGGGTCAGTGGGAAGAATGTCCCTTACATTGGGGGTCAGTGGGAAGAATGTCCCTTACATTGGGGGGTCAGTGGGAAGAATGTCCCTTACATTGGGGGTCAGTGGGAAGAATGTCCCTTACATTGGGGGTCAGTGGGAAGAATGTCCCTTACATTGGGGGGTCAGTGGGAAGAATGTCCCTTACATTGGGGATCAGTGGGAAGAATGTCCCTTACATTGGGGGTCAGTGGGAAGAATGTCCCTTACATTGGGGGTCAGTGGGAAGAATGTCCCTTACATTGGGGGGTCAGTGGGAAGAATGTTCCTAACATTGGGGGTCGGTGGGAAGAATGTCCCTTACATTGGTGATCAGTGGGAAGAATGTCCCTTACATTGGGGGGGTCAGTGGGAAGAATGTCCCTTACATTGGGGGTCAGTGGGAAGAATGTCCCTTACATTGGTGATCAGTGGGAAGAATGTCCCTTACATTGGGGGTCAGTGGGAAGAATGTCCCTTACATTGGGGGGTCAGTGGGAAGAACGTCCCTTACATTGGGGGTCAGTGGGAAGAATGTCCCTTACATTGGGGGGGTCAGTGGGAAGAATGTCCCTTACATTGGGGGGTCAGTGGGAAGAATGTCCCTTACATTGGGGGGTCAGTGGGAAGAATGTCCCTTACATTGGGGGTCAGTGGGAAGAATGTCCCTTACATTGGTGGTCAGTGGGAAGAATGTCCCTTACATTGGGGATCAGTGGGAAGAATGTTCCTTACATTGGGGGTCAGTGGGAAGAATGTCCCTTACATTGGGGGTCAGTGGGAAGAATGTCCCTTACATTGGTGGTCAGGGGGAAGAATGTCCCTTACATTGGTGGTCAGTGGGAAGAATGTCCCTTACATTGGGGGGTCAGTGGGAAGAATGTCCCTTACATTGGGGGTCAGTGGAGAATGTCCCTTACATTGGGGGTCAGTGGGAAGAATGTCCCTTACATTGGGGGTCAGTGGGAAGAATGTCCCTTACATTGGGGGTCAGTGGGAAGAATGTCCCTTACATTGGTGGTCAGTGGGAAGAATGTCCCTTACATTGGGGGTCAGTGGGAAGAATGTCCCTTACATTGGGGGTCAGTGGGAAGAATGTCCCTTACATTGGGGGGGTCAGTGGGAAGAATGTCCCTTACATTGGGGGGGTCAGTGGGAAGAATGTCCCTTACATTGGGGGTCAGTGGGAAGAATGTCCCTTACATTGGGGGGGTCAGTGGGAAGAATGTCCCTTACATTGGGGGTCAGTGGAAGAATGTCCCTTACATTGGGGGTCAGTGGGAAGAATGTCCCTTACATTGGGGGTCAGTGGGAAGAATGTCCCTTACATTGGGGGGGTCAGTGGGAAGAATGTCCCTTACATTGGGGGTCAGTGGGAAGAATGTCCCTTACATTGGGGGTCAGTGGGAAGAATGTCCCTTACATTGGGGGTCAGTGGGAAGAATGTCCCTTACATTGGGGGGGGGTCAGTGGGAAGAATGTCCCTTACATTGGGGGGGGTCAGTGGGAAGAATGTCCCTTACATTGGGGGGGGTCAGTGGGAAGAATGTCCCTTACATTGGGGGGGGTCAGTGGGAAGAATGTCCCTTACATTGGGGGGGGTCAGTGGGAAGAATGTCCCTTACATTGGGGGTCAGTGGGAAGAATGTCCCTTACATTGGGGGGTCAGTGGGAAGAATGTCCCTTACATTGGGGGGTCAGTGGGAAGAATGTCCCTTACATTGGGGGTCAGTGGGAAGAATGTCCCTTACATTGGGGGTCAGTGGGAAGAATGTCCCTTACATTGGGGGGTCAGTGGGAAGAATGTCCCTTACATTGGGGGTCGGTGAGAAGAATGTCCCTTACATTGGGGGTCAGTGGGAAGAATGTCCCTTACATTGGGGGTCAGTGGGAAGTATGTCCTTACATTGGGGGTCAGTGGGAAGAATGTCCCTTACATTGGGGGGGTCAGTGGGAAGAATGTCCCTTACATTGGGGGGGTCAGTGGGAAGAATGTCCCTTACATTGGTGATCAGTGGGAAGAATGTCCCTTACATTGGGGGTCAGTGGGAAGAATGTCCCTTACATTGGGGGTCAGTGGGAAGAATGTCCCTTACATTGGTGGTCAGTGGGAAGAATGTCCCTTACATTGGTGATCAGTGGGAAGAATGTCCCTTACATTGGGGATCAGTGGGAAGAATGTCCCTTACATTGGGGGTCAGTGGGAAGAATGTCCCTTACATTGGGGGTCAGTGGGAAGAATGTCCCTTACATTGGGGGTCAGTGGGAAGAATGTCCCTTACATTGGGGGTCAGTGGGAAGAATGTCCCTTACATTGGGGGGGTCAGTGGGAAGAATGTCCCTTACATTGGGGGGGGTCAGTGGGAAGAATGTCCCTTACATTTGGGGGTCAGTGGGAAGAATGTCCCTTACATTGGGGGGGTCAGTGGGAAGAATGTCCCTTACATTGGGGGGGTCAGTGGGAAGAATGTCCCTTACATTGGGGGGGTCAGTGGGAAGAATGTCCCTTATATTGGGGGGGTCAGTGGGAAGAATGTCCCTTACATTGGTGATCAGTGGGAAGAATGTCCCTTACATTGGGGGGGTCAGTGGGAAGAATGTCCCTTACATTGGGGGTCGGTGGGAAGAATGTCCCTTACATTGGGGATCGGTGGGAAGAATGTCCCTTACATTGGGGATCGGTGGGAAGAATGTCCCTTACATTGGGGGTCAGTGGGAAGAATGTCCCTTACATTGGGGGTCAGTGGGAAGAATGTCCCTTACATTGGGGGTCAGTGGGAAGAATGCCCCTTACATTGGTGGTCAGTGGGAAGAATGTCCCTTACATTGGGGATCGGTGGGAAGAATGTCCCTTACATTGGGGGGGTCAGTGGGAAGAATGTCCCTTACATTGGGGGTCGGTGGGAAGAATGTCCCTTACATTGGGGGTCGGTGGGAAGAATGTCCCTTACATTGGGGGTCGGTGGGAAGAATGTCCCTTACATTGGGGGTCAGTGGGAAGAATGTCCCTTACATTGGGGGTCAGTGGGAAGAATGTCCCTTACATTGGGGGTCAGTGAGAAGAATGTCCCTTACATTGGGGATCAGTGGGAAGAATGTCCCTTACATTGGTGATCAGTGGGAAGAATGTCCCTTACATTGGGGGTCAGTGGGAAGAATGTCCCTCACATTGGGGGTCAGTGGGAAGAATGTCCCTTACATTGGGGGTCAGTGGGAAGAATGTCCCTTACATTGGGCCACAGCTCAAGGAACCTCTGGCATCCTGCAGGAACCCTGGCTGAGAATGGCTGGCTGTACGAAGGGTTCACTTTGAGGGTTAAAGTGTGTCTGAATTCAGTTTATGTTGGAGAAACAAATCTCTCAGGTTTGCCTCTCTGGGACAGAAAAATGAGGGAAAATCCAACATTTTGTGTTGTCGGAGGACAAGGCAAAATACTCCAATGGGTTCCACTGACCCCTAAGCAGTTATTTGCTTGGCTTGGCCGGGTCTCCTCTATTCATGTTGTCTCTGAAGATGGGAAGTAAAGGAAAATTTCCTCAGCAAGGCAAAGACCGCGAAAAGATATTTGTCAGGTTCTAACCTCTGACTTCTCTATCCCTTTTGGCTTTAGATGTACTAAAGAGAGACCTAGAGTCTGATTGGCTCAGACTGCGCGGTGATTGGCCGTCACCTTCTCCATTCTGTGAATATTTGGCTCTCAGTGCCGCTCTACAACTCGCTATTTTGAATATTATTTGCAAGAGAAATAACAGTTGAAGCCTCTTGTGCTGGGAGTAAACACCTTATCAGCAGCCGTACATCACACCTCAACTAACCCTGAGGAGGGAGCTAAAAATACCCGGCAGATAATAGTCCTCCCTGACAATCCAGGTCCTCCACCCACAAGATGCCCCGCCCCACGCTGCCTTGTTTCTGCTTACTTTTGGGATATGGATAACCCTCTGTGTGTATGGTGAGCGGTTTGGATGATCCCCTCCCCCCACTGTGGTACAAACACTCTGCTCACCATTGATGTGCTCCATCCCCCCATCCCTTCTATTACTATAGTGAGGATGCACATTGACTTCAAGGCCGGGGCTCCAGTTTTCTCCCCATTTTACATTGGGGCTCTTTATTATTATTATTTTTTTATAAATCACGTTACCGTCTTTCCACAGCTAGAAATTTACACAAATATCAAAAGATAAAAGGAGAGTAAGGACAAAACAATTCAAAGCAAACAAAAGCTGTACTTTTCATGAGGGACACAATGAAACCAACAACAAAAAAAGGAAAACCGAAGACCCAAAAGTCCCGTTATACATCCACCCGTTATACATCCACCCGTTATACATCCACCCGTTATACATCCACCCGTTATACATCCACCCGTTATACAGCCACCCGTTATACATCCACCCGTTATACATCCACCCGTTATACAGCCACCCGTTATACATCCACCCGTTATACAGCCACCCGTTTATACAGCCACCCGTTATACAGCCACCCGTTATACATCCACCCGTTATACATCCACCCGTTATACATCCACCCGTTATACATCCACCCGTTATACATCCACCCGTTATACATCCACCGTTATACAGCCACCCGTTATACATCCACCCGTTATACATCCACCCGTTATACATCCACCCGTTATACATCCACCCGTTATACATCCACCCGTTATACATCCACCCGTTATACATCCACCCGTTATACAGCCACCCGTTATACATCCACCCGTTATACATCCACCCGTTATACATCCACCCGTTATACATCCACCCGTTATACATCCACACCGTTATACATCCACCCGTTATACATCCACCCGTTATACAGCCACCCGTTATACATCCACCCGTTATACATCCACTCGTCATACATACATGGGCTGGAGAAAAATATGAAACCGCTCTATGATCTGCACGTGTGGAAGTGACGCCATGTGTGACGGTGAAAGTGGTAGAACATTCTTTGGCTTCCGCTGTGTGATGAGACACCTAGCTAACAGGTGGGAAGTCTCACTTTCCTCATTCGCTGCGTGTGCTGATAGTAATACAGAGTCTTGTCAGATTGTTGGAGCCGCTTAGCTGGCGTCTCTGTGACTGAAGTCGCCAATATATTTTCCGCGTGGCGAGGTTCAGTATCAAAGGTTATGGCGGCGTATACAGTTTCCGGTAAAACATCGTCTGATGAGCACAGGCGCGGTCGCCATGGTCACCTGACCAAAAGAGACAAAAGGACATTGCACAGGATTGTGACCCAGAATAAAAAAAAACAACAAAAGTAACTGCAGAGCTCAATCTCAGTCCCGTGAAGAGTGAGTCCTGTGAAGACTGAGATTGAGCTGAGCAGTCACTTTTGTTTTCTCATTCCGGGTCACAATCCTGCGAAATGTCCTTTTGTCTCTGTCAGCTGACCATGTGTGATCTCAGTCTTCACGGGACTCACTCTTCACTGGACTGAGATTGAGCTCTGTAGTCACTTTTGTTTTCTCATTCTGGGTCACAATCCTGCAGAATGTCCTTTTTGTCTCTCAGTCAGGTGACCATGTGTGATCTCAGTCTTCACGGGACTCGCTCTTCACTGGACTGAGATTGAGCTCTGCAGTCACTTTTGTTTTCTCATTCTGGGTCACAATCCTGCACAATGTCCTTTTTGTCTCTCAGTCAGGTGACCATATGTGATCTCAGTCTTCACGGGACTCACTCTTCACTGGACTGAGATTGAGCTCTGCAGTCACTTTTGTTTTCTCATTCTGGGTCACAATCCTGCACAATGTCCTTTTTGTCTCTCAGTCAGGTGACTGTGTGTGATCTCAGTCTTCACGGGACTCACTCTTCACTGGACTGAGATTGACCTCTGCAGTCACTTTTGTTTTCTCATTCTGGGTCACAATCCGGCACAATGTCCTTTTTGTCTGTCAGGTGACCATGTGTGATCTCAGTCTTCATGGGACTCGCTCTTCACTGGACTGAGATTGAGCGCTGCAGTTACTTTTGTTGTTTGCTCATTCCGGGTTACAATCCTGCACAATGTCCTTTTTGTCTCTGTCAGGTGACTGTGTGGGCGGTGCTTATGCTTATCAGATGAGGTTTCCCCGGAAACTATATATGCCGCCATGATCTTTGATACTGCGCCTCGCCACACGGTAACATGCAGGCATGATGAAATGGGAGGTCAGTCACCATAGCTGACGGAACCCTGGCACCCCCTGGATGAGCTCTGGTTGACCATGGCTGCTCCATGTTGATGTGTTAGTCTCTCTAGCTCCTTACTTCTGACCGTCATTCACCGACTGGAGGTGGAGCCTGAACTCCCCCACTTTATTGCAATTATTATTCTATTTTGGACTTTTTGTTGGCCAGTTTCTCAATGAGCATTGAACTCGGAATCGAGCAAAGCGCGTTCAGCGTTTTCCCCACCATTGAACTGTGGACAAGCAATTCTACCTCAATGTAAATTGTATTCTATTCAGCCGGCTTTGTGCTTCTCACACCCCTACCAGATGGTTCAACAAGATCCATGACTTCACTTTTCTATGTTTCAGTTAAATCAATATCGCTGGTCAAGATCATTAGAGCCCACAATTGCGGAAACATTAAGACTCTTCCATCTGACTCGGGCAATAGGAAATGGGATTGATCTGGAATCGGTATTATGGTTTTTTCAATTCTTCCCACATTCACGCTCTAGAAAGCGGTTGAGTTTTTTTTTTTCAATGCTGCTTTTGCTGTGATTAGAAATTTGTGCAGATGTCTTTTTACAGACAACAGCCAAGAATCCTGGACTGGCAGATTTTTAGGGCTTAACAAAAAGTGAAACGGTGTATTGGCAGGTTTGGTTGAGGTTACCTGAAAAAGTCGTAAATAAGACTTTCCACTAGGTTTTGGAAGGTGTCTGTGGGAATTTGTTCCCATTTTGTGAGCTCTGGTACTGATGTTGCAGATCTGGCTAAAATGTTGGGCGCCAAAAAAAGCCCCTGTTTACAATGTGGGTTCCAGTAGGTTGAGGTCAGGGCTTTGTACAGGACATTGGAGTTCCTCCACAGCAAACTTGTCATCCATGCCTTTATGGAGTTTTCTCCACACTTCGTGGAATGCTTCCCATAATCTGTGCCCTTTATAGAGGTCAGGTACTGATGTTGATGTTTGTGTGTCTAACATTTTGCACCAAAAAAAAAGACCTTGTCCACCAGCAGTGTTCCATTTCATCTCTAAGGTGTTCATTAGGGTTGAGGTCAGGGCTTTGTGGAGGACACTCCAGATCTTCCACACCAAACTGGTCAAACCATGTCTTTTATTGAGCTGGCTTTCTACACAGGAGGCAGTCATGGGGGGAATAAAAAAGGGACTTCTCCAAACTGTTACCATAGGGATGGAGTCCCTTAGGCCTAGGTCAACCAAGGCCCCATGAAATCATTGTAGGCCTAGTTCATTCATGTTTCTCTGGAGGTTCTCGGGACACTAGAGTTCTTCCACACCAAACTATCAAACTAGGTCTTTATGGAGCTGGCCCACTTTGTGTCTGTAACATCCTCTACTCTTCTGGGAAAACTTTCCACAAGAATTTAGAGGGTGTCTGTGGGAATTTGTACCCATTATTGAGGTCAGGTACTGATGTTGGATGAGAAGACCTGGCTCACCATCTGCACTCCAGTTCATCCCAAAGGTGTTCAGGAGGTTGAGGTCAGGATTCTGTGCAGGATACGTGAGATCCTCCACCCATCACACTATATGAGCTTTTTGGACATGTCATTCAAAAACCATGGCCATCGATGTGGAGTTGTTCCCCCATCATGGCCATCGATGTGGAGTTGTTCCCCCATCATGGCCATCGATGTGGAGTTGTTCCCCCACCATGGCCATCGATGTGGAGTTGTTCCCCCACCATGGCCATCGATGTGGAGTTGTTCCCCCACCATGGCCATCGATGTGGCGTTGTTCCCCCACCATGGCCATCGATGTGGCGTTGTTCCCCCACCATGGCCATCGATGTGGCGTTGTTCCCCCACCATGGCCATCGATGTGGCGTTGTTCCCCCACCATGGCCATCGATGTGGCGTTGTTCCCCCACCATGGCCATCGATGTGGCGTTGTTCCCCCACCATGGCCATCGATGTGGAGTTGTTCCCCCACCATGGCCATCGATGTGGAGTTGTTCCCCCACCATGGCCATCGATGTGGAGTTGTTCCCCCACCATGGCCATCGATGTGGAGTTGTTCCCCCACCATGGCCATCGATGTGGAGTTGTTCCCCCACCATGGCCATCGATGTGGAGTTGTTCCCCCACCATGGCCATCGATGTGGAGTTGTTCCCCCACCATGGCCATCGATGTGGAGTTGTTCCCCCACCATGGCCATCGATGTGGAGTTGTTCCCCCACCATGGCCATCGATGTGGAGTTGTTCCCCCACCATGGCCATCGATGTGGAGTTGTTCCCCCACCATGGCCATCGATGTGGCGTTGTTCCCCCACCATGGCCATCGATGTGGCGTTGTTCCCCCACCATGGCCATCGATGTGGCGTTGTTCCCCCACCATGGCCATCGATGTGGAGTTGTTCCCCCACCATGGCCATCGATGTGGAGTTGTTCCCCCACCATGGCCATCGATGTGGAGTTGTTCCCCCACCATGGCCATCGATGTGGAGTTGTTCCCCCACCATGGCCATCGATGTGGCATTGGTCCCCCACCATGGCCATCGATGTGGCGTTGGTCCCCCACCATGGCCATCAGTATGGCGTTGGTCCCCCACCATGGCCATCAGTATGGCGTTGGTCCCCCCACCATGGCCATCAGTATGGCGTTGGTCCCCCACCATGGCCATCAGTGTGGAGTTGGTCCCCCCCCCCCCATCGTGGCCATTATCTAGTTGTCGCCCCCCCCCCCCCCCCATCATGGCCATTATTATCGAGTTGGCTCCTCCCCCTTATTCACATTTCAGTATCCTTTCACTGAAGAAGATGCGGGTATTTAGTCTGTATGATGTATGGATCTGTATTTAGTTTGAGTTCTTAAACATTAGTGCTGGTAGCCTTCCATTGGTCCATTCTTGATGAACCAATGAACAGACTTGGAATATTCTGATTTATTGCCTTTTGTGTGGGAGATAATGTGCAGTGAAATGCTTAAACTTGCATTCTGAGGGGACACTGTTGTGGCCTCCAGCCCCCTACCATGCAGCAGGAGTACGAATAATCGACCAGCTACTGCAAGTGAAAGGATGACGACCTTCATTACATACAGCATTCTCTTGTGATTATTGATGTGTCCAAAAGGGAATGACTATTATTTATTATTTATTTCAGGTACTTATCTAGCGCCATCAATTTACGCAGCGCTCTCCATATATATTGTACATTCCCATCAGTCTTCACAGAAGCTTGCAGACCTCTATAACGCGCTTTCTCCTCTTTTTTTTTCCAGACGTGCCCCCGGCCGAGCAAGAGAAATTGTTTGTCCAGAAGCTGCGCCAGTGTTGTGTCCTTTTCGACTTTGTCTCTGACCCCTTGAGTGATCTAAAATGGAAGGAGGTGAAGAGAGCGGCCCTGAGCGAGATGGTAGAATATATCACACACAATCGCAATGTCATCACGGAGCCCATCTACCCGGAGGTGGTTCATATGGTGAGTCCCGGCATTGGCCTGATGGGTCCGGATTTTGTTCTCATTATTTCCAGGGTGATGTGACGTGCAGGGATGCCGTCTCCAGCCTTTTCCTGACCTCATTATAGCAGGTTTTCGGTAAATCAAGACGTATTTCCTTAAGCTGACAGCTCCTCAGTGAGTCACAGCCCAGTAAAGAAAAATCGACTTTTCCTGAGTTCTTGGCATGTTTTAGAGACAGAGACAACCTTCTAGGTGGTCGGCAAAGGGTCCAACCTGTGAAGGGAGCCTTATTACACTTACCCGTGCTTCAGCCTTTGTGCCAAAACTTCACTCTGTAGCAGAGCTCCCGTCACCAGATTCCGGGCTTCTTGGTATGTAGAAGGTCCCCTCCTGGTGACCCCCTACATCTCCGGGCTTCCTGGTATGTAGAAGGTCCCCTCCTGGTGACCCCCTACATCTCCGGGCTTCGTGGTATGTAGAAGGTCCCCTCCTGGTGATCCCCTACATCTCCGGGCTTCCTGGTATGTAGAAGGTCCCCTCCTGGTGACCCCCTACATCTCCGGGCTTCCTGGTATGTAGAAGGTTCCCACCTGGTGACCCCCTACATCTCCGGGCTTCCTGGTATGTAGAAGGTCCCCTCCTGGTGACCCCCTACATCTCCGGGCTTCCTGGTATGTAGAAGGTCCCCTCCTGGTGACCCCCTACATCTCCGGGCTTCCTGGTATGTAGAAGGTCCCCTCCTGGTGACCCCCTACATCTCCGGGCTTCCTGGTATGTAGAAGGTCCCCTCCTGGTGATCCCCTACATCTCCGGGCTTCCTGGTATGTAGAAGGTCCCCTCCTGGTGACCCCCTTTATCTCCGGGCTTCCTGATATGTAGAAGGTTCCCACCTGGTGACCCCCTACATCTCCGGGCTTCCTGGTATGTAGAAGGTCCCCTCCTGGTGATCCCCTACATCTCCGGGCTTCCTGGTATGTAGAAGGTCCCCTCCTGGTGACCCCCTACATCTCCGGGCTTCCTGGTATGTAGAAGGTCCCCTCCTGGTGATCCCCTACATCTCCGGGCTTCCTGGTATGTAGAAGGTCCCCTCCTGGTGACCCCCTTCATCTCCGGGCTTCCTGGTATGTAAAAGGTTCCCACCTGGTGACCCCCTACATCTCCGGGCTTCCTGGTATGTAGAAGGTCCCCTCCTGGTGATCCCCTACATCTCCGGGCTTCCTGGTATGTAGAAGGTCCCCTCCTGGTGACCCCCTACATCTCCGGGCTTCCTGGTATGTAGAAGGTCCCCTCCTGGTGACCCCCTACATCTCCGGGCTTCCTGGTATGTAGAAGGTCCCCTCCTGGTGACCCCCTACATCTCCGGGCTTCCTGGTATGTAGAAGGTCCCCTTCTGGTGACCCCCTACATCTCCGGGCTTCCTGGTATGTAGAAGGTCCCCTCCTGGTGACCCCCTACATCTCCGGGCTTCCTGGTATGTAGAAGGTCCCCTCCTGGTGACCCCCTTCATCTCCGGGCTTCCTGATATGTAGAAGGTTCCCACCTGGTGACCCCCTACATCTCCGGGCTTCCTGGTATGTAGAAGGTCCGCTCCTGGTGACCCCCTACATCTCCGGGCTTCCTGGTATGTAGAAGGTCCCCTCCTGGTGACCCCCTACATCTCCGGGCTTCCTGGTATGTAGAAGGTCCCCTCCTGGTGACCCCCTACATCTCCGGGCTTCCTGGTATGTAGAAGGTCCCCTCCTGGTGACCCCCTACATCTCCGGGCTTCCTGGTATGTAGAAGGTCCCCTCCTGGTGACCCCCTACATCTCCGGGCTTCCTGGTATGTAGAAGGTCCCCTCCTGGTGACCCCCTACATCTCCGGGCTTCCTGGTATGTAGAAGGTCCCCTCCTGGTGACCCCCTACATCTCCGGGCTTCCTGGTATGTAGAAGGTCCCCTCCTGGTGACCCCCTTTATCTCCGGGCTTCCTGGTATGTAGAAGGTCCCCTCCTGGTGACCCCCTACATCTCCGGGCTTCCTGGTATGTAGAAGGTCCCCTCCTGGTGACCCCCTACATCTCCGGGCTTCCTGGTATGTAGAAGGTCCCCTCCTGGTGACCCCCTACATCTCCATTGTATAAATAAAATGGTATTCTACATACTTGACCATTGGCCCTTTGCTAAGACTTTACTCACCATTGCAGAGCTCCCGTCACCAGATTGTGGACTTCCTGGTATGTAGAAGGTCCCCTCCTGGTGACCCCCTACATCTCTGGGCTTCCTGGTATGTAGAAGGTCCCCTCCTGGTGACCCCCTACATCTCCGGGCTTCCTGGTATGTAGAAGGTCCCCTCCTGGTGACCCCCTACATCTCCGGGCTTCCTGGTATGTAGAAGGTCCCCTCCTGGTGACCCCCTACATCTCCGGGCTTCCTGGTATGTAGAAGGTCCCCTCCTGGTGACCCCCTACGTCTCCATTCTATAAAACGGTATTCTACATACTTGCCCGTTGGCCCTTTGCTAAGACTTGACTCACCATTGCAGAGATTCCGGCATTGATCAGATCCGACTGTACTGGCTGGTCAAGTAGCTGTTTCCCCTCCATAGACTGCCACGTTTCCTCCTGCTGACCCTTAGTCATTGCAGGACACACTGGAGATGTAGGGGGTCAACAGGAGGGTGTAAAAACCCCCACGGCCATAGGCCTGGTCCTGGGAATGGTGTATCTGCCAGGGCCTAACCCTAAATCAGGGAGATGCATCCAAAAACCATACACTGCAGAAAAACCCACAAAGAAGGATATAGCACCTCAAAGGCTACCACGGCAGTATTTAAAAATGTACATATCCCATATATATTCCATGCATGTACCACAGCCCCAGTACCACCTTGACAGGCCCCTGCTCCAGTACTGAGCACCCGGGGGGTGTACCCCACCCACCCCTCCCCATATGTCCCGAAGTCCCCCTGTCCTGCGAGGATGAAACCAGGTCCCCCAGAAGTCCCCCTGTAGCAGTGCCGATTGTTAGATGCAATAAAATGTGGATATCTGGCCTGACCCTCGTATGGAGCAATGAGTCCCGATGTGGATACACTGGATATAACCCCACTAAGGGAGACGAGCGGAGAGAGGGGGCAGCCACAACCCCACCAAGTGGGTGTTAATTCAGCCGCTAACGTTTGATGGGCCGCCATGCTCTCCCAACCTCGGTGTATCCGGGACCTTCTGAGCTGGTCACCTGACAGGCACCAAACGGGTCCAACCTACCGACTTCCCCAGGTGAAGGCAGCCTGTACACCGCGGTATGATTCCTCTTGTACCCGCACAATGAAGATCTCACCACATATGAGACAACAGGTATATGTTCATCCAAAGCTCAGTGGCCGGGATTTCCGGTGTCCATTTGCAGGTATGTAGCGGCGTCCATTATTACATCCAGACCGGCACATGCTAGTCAGACTAGGCTTGAGAGCCGGCGTGCACTCCGGCATCTTACAGGGGGACCTCGCAGGGTAGGAGCTCATGTACTCGTGCATCCTGGGTAGTGAGCCTGGCTTGGTATCGGCGATGGCTTCTGTATCCCCGTCTAGCGCAGATTAGCGTATGCTATTTCTCACCGGAAAAGTGGTGCGTTCAGAGAGACGCTCCATACGTTCATGTCATTTACCCAACCATAGCCTCATACAGCCATCCACTTGTATTGGCGTCTCTACTGGGCACGTGCGGCTCCCTGGGAGCCAGAAACTTTGTATTTTATGTGTCGGCACACGGGAGCTGCTAAGTGTCCATGTGCATGAGACTTAGTAAGCACCGGAGTTCAACCCAGCGCAATCCGTAATCAGCACTCAGTAAACAACTGCTCAGACCCCATCCTTTTCTGCTGTGCAAATGTCACATGACCCCACATACCTTGAAGACCCTGAGTGGCAGTAGATTAAGTATTCCCACTTTCCTGGTACCCCCCTGGGACGCTGGTATGCCCATGCATGCCTCCCTGTGGGGATCTAGTAAGGCCATCAGTCAGTCATGGTCTGGAGGAGAAGCTTGGGAAGGAACATCAATCCAACCTGATGTGGAGGCCCTGGAGGCCAAGTGCTGACCGTCTCAGATCAGGTCTTCTCCACAGAGCTGCATTATCCATAGACCTTCGGATGGTATAACAGCCAGGCAATTGGTATTGCAGGTTGGAGCAGTCAGTATAGATTCTCTTGAAGAACTCCTCAGCCAATAATACGGCAGCGATGGGTCTGTAAAAGAGCCGGGATTGTGGTTGGTTTAAATGGTCATGCAAATCTGTATTTGAAATCAAATCTTTATTATTTTTTTGGCAATAACATGGTGTGGGTGGATTTCTGCCAGTCACAGGCTGTGTCATGTCCCTCCAGACTGTGTCTTAGAATGACAGGGAGGTGAAGCCTCCATCAATCAAGATGTAAAATCCCAACTCCCACTGTATTTAGCTGGTTAGTGGGCATGGAGGAGGAGGGGAGGGAGTGGGCTGTCATGTACCACTGTGTATACGCCCACATGGAGGAGGAGGGAGGAGGTGGGCTATCATGTACCACTGTGTATACGCCCACATGGAGGAGGAGGGAGGGGGCGGGCTGTCATGTACCACTGTGTATACGCCCACGTGGAGGAGGGAGGGGGTGGGCTGTCATGTACCACTGTGTATACGCCCACATAAAGGGGGTGGGCTGTCATGTACCACTGTGTATACGCCCACATGGAAGAGGAGGTAGAGGCGGGCTGTCATGTACCACTGTGTATACGCCCACGTGGAGGAGGAGGGAGGGGGTGGGCTGTCATTTGCCACTGTGTATACGCCCATGTGGAGGAGGAGGGAGGGGGCGGGCTTTCATGTACCACTGTGTATATGCCCACATGGAGGAGGAGGGAGGGGGCGGGCTGTCATGTACCACTGTGTATACGCCCACATGGAGGAGGAGGGAGGGGGGTGGGCTGTCATGTACCACTGTGTATACGCCCACATGGAGGAGGAGGGAGGGGGCGGGCTGTCATGTACCACTGTGTATACGCCCACGTGGAGGAGGAGGGAGGGGGCGGGCTGTCATGTACCACTGTGTATACGCCCACATGTGTGACTCTGTAGTCACATGGGCTGCTCAGATGTGATGGGGAGGAAATGCTCAGCATAGAAACTCATTGAAAACTGAGCATGTGCAGAGCTGCCAACGCTGCTTTACAGAATTTCCATCTGCACTGGGGGTGTGGACAGGAGGCGGGGGCGTGGACAGGAGGCGGGAGCCCGGACAGGAGGTGGGGACAGAACAGCAGGATCAGCCAGGTTTTTTTTTGCAGAATACAGAAAACAAACCCCATAGTGGCTGAGTGAAGAGCACGGAATGCGGCATTTATTGATTGGACGATGCGGGGGGATTCACACTTTAAGTGCGCCATTAATAACAATGGTTTGTGTTTAGTTTGCAGTGAACATGTTCCGGACGTTACCCACCAGTCCCCCGCCGTCCTCCAACCCCACCGGAGCCGAGTTTGATCCCGAGGAAGATGAGCCGACGTTAGAAGCCGCGTGGCCACACCTACAGGTATATCCGTCGTGATTGGTTTGTTTTATAGTTGAAGCTGCTCTGTCTTTGAGTTTTGAAATCTATATATTAAAGGTTTGTATTGTGACCTGTCCTGGGGGTGACCTGTCCTGGGGGTGACCTGTCCTGGGGGTGACCTGTCCTGGGGGTGACCTGTCCTGGGGGCGACCTGTCCTGGGGGTGACCTGTCCTGGGGGCGACCTGTCCTGGGGGCGACCTGTCCTGGGGGCGACCTGTCCTGGGGGCGACCTGTCCTGGGGGCGACCTGTCCTGGGGGCGACCTGTCCTGGGGGCGACTGAGGAGTCCCCACGTTGGTCACCACCGGCCGGCTCTGCATGGTGGATGCCTTGGCCTATAAGCCTTCGTTCACACTGATGTGTTTTTTTTAGTGCGTTTTGCAGAAACGCTGCAGTCCGTTTACCATGATTTCCTATGGATCTAGTTCACATCCGTGTGCTGTCTGCTGCTGCGGTTTTTGGAAAGGGTCAGGGACTATTCCCCCCCCCCCCAGCAGATTTCATGCATTGCATTTAATAGGCTTCAATGGACCTGCACCAGAAACACAAGTGATGCGTTTTGCTGTTTATTTTGGCTAATAGGTAAGTAGGACAGTTCCATTCATGTAGTGCGACTTTACTCTCTCTGCCACTCAAGGCGCAGCAACGGCCAACCAGATTAGTGCAGGAACCTTTGTGTCCGAATTCGCTGACCCTGGTGACAGCGGCTGCTCCCCCCCGGTGTACAGTTGGGTGCGCTCATGTGAACAAGGCCTGCACACTAGACTGCAGAGCGGTTTGGTGTCCGGTGTCAGTCCACATCGGCTGCAGCGAGCCACAGTTCCCTTTTATTTTTTTTTTAATCAAACTTTATTTGAAATGTTTAAAGTGACACTTCATTCCTGTCACCCACTTGGTTTGTTGGCTGTTGTGCGGCGGGACATGTGGTGCCTTCCTGAGTGATCAGGTGCGGCACGTCTGTCTTTTATTGTATCGCAATGCAGACGGGGCCCATTGAAAACAATTGTTCTCCATGTGCCCCAGCAATGACCTCCATCTCCCCAACACCTGCCAGGCACTTCGCTGTGTGAACGGGGCGCCATGTTGCTGTGCGTAGGCACCTCGCTATGTGAACGGGACGCCATGTTGCTGTGCGTAGGCACCCTCGCTATGTGAACGGGACGCCATGTTGCTGTGCGTAGGCACCTCGCTGTGTGAATATGACGCCATGTTGCTGTGCGTAGGCACCTCGCTGTGTCAACGGGACGCCATGTTGCTGTGCGTAGGCACCTCGCTATGTGAACAGGACGCCATGTTGCTGTGCGTAGGCACCTCGCTATGTGAACAGGACGCCATGTTGCTGTGCGTAGGCACCTCGCTATGTGAACAGGACGCCATGTTGCTGTGCGTAGGCACCTCGCTATGTGAACGGGACGCCATGTTGCTGTGCGTAGGCACCTCGCTGTGTGTGAACGGACGCCATGTCCGCGTTGCTGTGCGTAGGCACCTCGCTGTGTGAACGGACGCCATGTCCGCGTTGCTGTGCACTTCATTGGCCTCACATCTGGATTTCCTTTCTTTCCAGCTTGTATACGAGTTTTTCCTGCGATTTCTGGAATCTCCGGATTTCCAGCCGAACGTAGCGAAGAAATATATCGATCAGAAGTTCGTTCTGCAGGTACGTCTGGTAGTGTTTGTCTTCTAGTAATTGATGACATGATGACGGGTTCTAATCCTGCGTGTCCCCTCTCCCCCCCCCCCCCCCCCCCAGTTGTTGGAACTCTTCGACAGTGAAGACCCCAGAGAGAGAGATTTCCTGAAGACGACTTTGCATCGAATCTACGGGAAGTTTTTAGGCCTCCGAGCGTACATAAGGAAACAGATCAATAATATATTTTATAGGTGAGTGCTCAGCGTGTGTCTGATGGTACCTCCTGTACTGCGGGGGTCTCCAAGCCTCCTGTACTGCGGGGGTCTCCAAACCTCCTGTACTGCGGGGGTCTCCCAGCCTCCTGTACTGCGGGGGTCTCCCAGCCTCCTGTACTGCGGGGGTCTCCCAGCCTCCTGTACTGCGGGGGTCTCCCAGCCTCCTGTACTGCGGGGGTCTCCCAGCCTCCTGTACTGCGGGGGTCTCCAAGCCTCCTGTACTGCGGGGGTCTCCAAACCTTCTACAGTGCGGGGGTCTCCAAACCTTCTACAGTGCGGCGGTCTCCAAACCTTCTACAGTGCGGGGGTCTCCAAACCTTCTACAGTGCGGGGGGGTCTCCAAACCTTCTATAGACGGGGGGGTCTCCAAACCTTCTATAGACGGGGGGTCTCCAAACCTTCTATAGACGGGGGGTCTCCAAACCTTCTATAGACGGGGGGTCTCCAAACCTTCTCTAGTGCGGGGGTTTCCAAACGTTCTACAGTGCGGGGGTCTCCAAACCACCTATAGACGCAGGGGTCTCCAAACCTTCTAAACAAAGGGCCAGTTTACTGTCCTTCAGACTGTAGGGGGGCCGGTCTGTGGCCACCGGGAGTAGAAAATGTCCCAATGTCAGTTGGAATAAACCAATCTCCTTCTTTATCACTGGGAGGAATTGTGCCCCATTCTTGGTGTCATTGCCAGGAGAGGAGACGGTACACCTGTGCAAGACTAGAGGGGAGGAGCCGGTACACCTGTGCAAGACTGGAGGGGAGGAGCCAGTACACCTGTGCAAGACTGGAGGGGAGGAGCCGGTACACCTGTGCAAGACTGGAGGGGAGGAGCCGGTACACCTGTGCAAGACTGGAGGGGAGGAGCCGGTACACCTGTGCAAGACTGAAGGGGAGGAGCTGGTACACCTGTGCAAGACTGGAGATGAGGAGCCGGTACACCTGGTCAAGACTGGAGGGGAGGAGCCGGTACACCTGGTCAAGACTGGAGGGGAGGAGCCGGTACACCTGGTCAAGACTGGAGGGGAGGAGCCGGTACACCTGGTCAAGACTGGAGGGGAGGAGCCGGTACACCTGGTCAAGACTGGAGGGGAGGAGCCGGTACACCTGGTCAAGACTGGAGGGGAGGAGCCGGTACACCTGGTCAAGACTGGAGGGGAGGAGCCGGTACACCTACGCAAGACTGGAGGGGAGGAGCCGGTACACCTACGCAAGACTGGAGGGGAGGGGCCGGTACACCTGCGCAAGACTGGAGGGAGGGGCCGGTACACCTGCGCAAGACTGGAGGGGAGGAGCCGGTACACCTGGTCAAGCCTGGAGGGGAGGAGCCGGCACACCTGTGCAAGACTGGAAGGGAGGAGCCGGCACACCTGTGCAAGACTGGAAGGGAGGAGCCGGCACACCTGTGCAAGACTGGAGGGGAGGAGCCGGCACACCTGTGCAAGACTGGAGGGGAGGAGCCCATACACCTCTACAAGACTGGAGGGGAGGAGCCGGCACACCTGTGCAAGACTGGAGGGGAGGAGCCGGCACACCTGTGCAAGACTGGAGGGGAGGAGCCGGCACACCTGTGCAAGACTGGAGGGGAGGAGCCGGCACACCTGTGCAGGACTGGAGGGGAGGAGCCGGCACACCTGTGCAGGACTGGAGGGGAGGAGCCCATACACCTGTACAAGACTGGAGGGGAGGAGCCGGCACACCTGTGCAGGACTGGAGGGGAGGAGCCCATACACCTGTACAAGACTATAGGGGAGGAGTCGGCCCCTCCTTCAGGGACTCCCCGCATCCACAGGGTGCTCGCCATTTTCAGAATGGTGCTGGGTGTCTGAGGACATCTTGTGGCAGATGTTGGTACTGCAGGTCACAGCTGTAGATTGAAGACACATCAGGACGGGATTTTCATACAATTTTTCAGTAAACGTTTCCCCTCCCCCACACCACTGAGCTTTCCACCTTCTCTGGGAAGAATGCCGGCCTTATGATCTCTCCTAATAAATACATTCTATTCTTACCAACCCGGCCAGTAATAACCCCTCACCTGGCGGAGGTAGAGCCGTATTACCTGGAGATAGGATACGGGGGGGCCCCCCTCCCCTTCATTTTTGCACCTGTGTTACCGGCTCCTCCCCTCCAGTCTTGTACAGGTGTACAGGCTCCTCCCCTTCAGTCTTGCACAGGTGTACTGGCTCCTCCCCTTCAGTCTTGCACAGGTGTACCGGCTCCTCCTCCCCTTCAATCCTGCACAGGTGTACCGGCTTCTCCCCTTCAGTCTTGCGTAGGTGTACCGGCTCCTCCCCTTCAGTCTTGCGCAGGTGTACCAGCCCCTCCCCTCCAGTCTTGCGCAGGTGTACCGGCCCCTCCCCTCCAGTCTTGCGCAGGTGTACCGGCCCCTCCCCTCCAGTCTTGCGTAGGTGTACCGGCTCCTCCCCTCCAGTCTTGCGTAGGGTGTACCGGCTCCTCCCCTCCAGTCTTGCGCAGGTGTACCGGCTCCTCCCCTCCAGTCTTGCGCAGGTGTACCGGCTCCTCCCCTCCAGTCTTGCGCAGGTGTACCGGCTCCTCCCCTTCAGTCTTGCGCAGGTGTACCGGCTCCTCCCCTTCAGTCTTGCGCAGGTGTACCGGCTCCTCCCCTTCAGTCTTGCGCAGGTGTACCGGCTCCTCCCCTTCAGTCTTGCGCAGGTGTGTACCGGCTCCTCCCCTCCAGTCTTGCGCAGGTGTACCGGCTCCTCCCCTCCAGTCTTGCACAGGTGTACCGACTCCTCCCCTTCAGTCTTGCGCAGGTGTACCGGCTCCTCCCATGGACTGGAAAGGCTTCCTCTGATGTCACCGCACACTGGGAGCTTCTCACAACGTACATTAGAAGCTGCAGCCAGTCAGAGCTCCGCCTCATTTTCTGGCTGGAGGATGTCCAGCATCATCTAGCACTTTCTTCCCCAGCCTGACTGTCCCTGGTCCCGCCCATTTCATTGATTAGAGCCGCCTCATTTTCTGGCTGCAAGATGTCCAGCATCATCTAGCCCAGTTCGCCAGCATATCCTACACCTTTCATTTATTGGATTTTGGTCTGTCAATCATGGAGACAACACATGTGGGCGTTACCTTTGTAAATACAGCCTGCCTAGAAACACCTACCCCTCCACACTGACACCCACCCATCAAGGCAGTTTGATATTTGCATAAACTCCTCCCACTGCCTGTATCAGGACTGAGGTCTCCTGAAAGGAGTACTGGAATGTTTCAGGAAGCTATGTACAGCACCCTGCTGGCCCCTCCCACCAGCTATGATCTGCTTGCATTGCATAGAGAAACACAGATACCCAACGATGTCATCACAGATTCTAAAATAAGGAATGTAATCAAAATGGAAAGGCTTCATTTAAAAATACCGATATCTTGTTGATGAGGGGGAACCAGGGAGGGTAAAATCTAGGGAGGGTAAAATCTAGGAACATCGAAACGTCCGTCCAGCAGCTCAGTCTGTGACACCATGACCCTTATTTATTGATTTTTCATTTTTCTAATGTGTGACTTTTCTCTGTTTTCAGGTTTATTTATGAAACGGAACACCACAACGGCATAGCAGAGCTGCTGGAAATCCTGGGAAGGTTGGTTCCTCCATTGCTTTCCTTCTTCCTCCTCACACATAAAGACATTGGATAAAGGTTCTGCCTTCTGATTGGTCAGACTTTCCGTCACTCATTTGTTCTTTATACAGCTGCAAATCATTTTCATGTGTCACGTGATTGGGGGGGGGGGGGGGTGACAACACAGGTGGTGCTTCTGCACATGTGCAGAGAAATCCGCATTCATTTCTTATGGCGGGGTCATCCATTTCTGATTATTATTATTGGGATTTTGTATAGCGCCATCAATTTACATATATATTGTACTTTCCCATCAGTCCCCGCCCCTGAGGAGCGCACAATCTAATGCAGGCCATAAACGGTTCGAAAACCAGACGTTTTTTAATAAAAGAAAAATCGGTCATTCGATCGGCCGACGTTCCCACCAACGGTTAAAACAATCATCCGATTTTCGTCCCGTCTGCGGCCGGCATTTAATTACTTCTGTCCCTTGCAGAGAGCTCCGCTATTATATTTGACATGAAAAAGTCTTGCGGTTGCAAACAATGTATCCATTTCGGATACAGATGTTTTTATTTAGATATATATAGATACATTGTTGCAAAACGCAATACTTTCCATGTAAAATATAATAGCGGACTGGATTTCTTCTTTTTCTCCTCTTGCTCCTCCTCCTCTTGCTCTTCCTCCTCTTGCTCTTGCTCCTCCTTCCTCTTCTTCCTCCTTCCTCTTCTTCCTCCTTCTCTTCTTTCTTCCTCTTCTTCTTCCTCATTTCCTCTTCTTCCTCCTTCCTCTTCTTCCTCTTCCTCTCCTCCTCTTCGAGGCAGAAGCTCTCCTCGGAATGGAGGAAGGAGGCCTCCTTTTCCTCTTCCTCCTTCTTCCTCCTCCCTCTTCCTCTTCCTCTTCCTCCTCCTCCTTTTCCTCTTCCTCCTTCCTCCTCCTCTTCCTCTTCCTCTTCCTCCTCCTCCTCCTCTTCCTCTTCCTCCTCCTCCTCTTCCTCTTCCTCCTCCTCCTTTTCCTCTTCCTCCTCCTCCGTTTTTTCCTCTTCTGCCCTCGTCCTTCCTCCTCCTCTTCCTCCTCCCTCCTTCCTCTTCTCCTCCTCTTCCTCCTCCTCCTTCCCTCCTCCTCCTCTTCCTCCTCCTCCTCTTCTTCCTCCTCCTCTTCCTCCTCCTCTTCCTCTTCCTCTTCCTCCTCCTCCTTTTCCTCTTCCTCCTCCTCCTCCTTTTCCTCTTCCTCTTCTTCCTCCTCCTCCTCCTTTCCTCTTCCTCCTCCTCCTCCTTTTCCTCTTCCTCTTCCTCCTCCTCCTCCTTTCCCTCTTCCTCTTCCTCCTCCTCCTTTCCTCTTCCTCTTCCTCCTCCTCCTCCTCCTTTTCCTCTTCCTCTTCCTCCTCCTCCTTTTCCTCTTCCTCTTCCTCCTCCTCCTTTTCCTCTTTCCTCTTCCTCTTCCTCCTCCTCCTTTTCCTCTTCCTCCTTTTCCCTCTTCCTCCTCCTCCTTTTTCCTCTCTTCCTCCTCCTCCTCCTTTTCCTCTTCCTCCTCCTCCTCCTTTTCCTCTTCCTCCTCCTCCTCCTTTTTCCTCTTCCTCCTCCTCCTCCTTTTCCTCTTTCTTCTCTTCCTCTTCCTTCTCTTCCTCTTCCTTCTCCTCCTCTTCCTTCTCCTCCTCTTCTTCCTCCTCCTCTTCCTCTTCTTCCTCCTCCTCTTCCTCTTCTTCCTCCTCCTTTTCCTCTCCCTCCTCTTCCTTTTCCTCTCCCTCCTCCTCCTTTTCCTCTCCCTCCTCCTCCTTCTTCGCAGATTTTTTCTATCGGTAAAACCCAACGGCCAATTTTTCCCATCATTGCCGGGAAAATCGACCTATCGTCAAAATCGGCTGCAAATTTTCCAACTTGACAGATTAAAAAAAAAATAAATGTGCCAAAACCCCGAAAAACGGCCAAACAATTAACCCACTAACGGTGCAAAAATCGGACGATTTTGGACCCGTCTATGTGTATAGGTCATGTGACAGGCCGGGTATTTGTACTGCAAGTCTACAGGAGGTCATGTGACAGGCCGGATATTTGTACTGCAAGTCTATAGGAGGTCATGTGACAGGCCGGGTATTTGTACTGCAAGTCTACAGGAGGTCATGTGACGGGCCGGGTATTTGTACTGCAAGTCTACAGGAGGTCATGTGACGGGCCGGGTATTTGTACTGCAAGTCTATAGGAGGTCATGTGACGGGCCGGGTATTTGTACTGCAAGTCTACAGGAGGTCATGTGACGGGCCGGGTATTTGTACTGCAAGTCTACAGGAGGTCATGTGATGGACCGGGTATTTGTACTGCAAGTCTACAGGAGGTCATGTGACAGGCCGGATATTTGTACTGCAAGTCTATAGGAGGTCATGTGACGGGCCTAAACTTTTGTCCTGTTTTTTTGTGTTTTCAGTATAATTAACGGGTTTGCCTTACCATTAAAAGAAGAGCACAAAATATTCCTGCTGAAGGTGTTACTGCCGTTACACAAAGTCAAGTCACTCAGTGTCTACCATCCACAGGTAAGTGCCGCCAGCTGCGCTCTCCAAATCTCGGGGTGTCCCATGGTCACTCACATGCCCCTCCCCCTCAATAAACTATCATTTCTGGGACCCCCGCGGACAACAGTGTATACTCTCCAGCTCTCCAGGAATCAAATGCCAAAGGAGGCCAGGGAACCAGAGCAAATGGTGGCCTATGGATGACACGTCGGGGATGCAGCCCTCCTCACATGGGGAAAATCAACAACTGGAAAGAGCAGGAAGGGGGGGGGGATCCTTGGGGGGGGGGAATCCTCTGGAGGCCAATGGTTTAAATTCATTAAAGTTAATTTTTTCCCCACAAAACAGTTTTTGAAAAATCACCTCATGAATTACCGTGCGACATAAACAAATGCAACACCCGCCATTTATCCCTCCAGGGCCTCTGCTTACACAATATAGAATGTTTGGGGGATCTGAGTAATTTTCTAGCAAAAAATGGTGATTTTTAACATGCTGGAGAAAAGAGTCAGAAGTGGCCTGGGTGGGAAGTAGATAATGGCGACTGTCCTTTTACAGGTCAGGACGGGGGGTCCCAGAAAGATCAGGGCCTGCGCCAACACCTAACGCACTATCCACGGTTTATTCGAAATGTATAAAAGACAAAAACATACAAATGTAGCGTGTATATGACGCTTTGTATGACCATGGAGATGGCTACAACAATGGGCATGGTGTCCAACTGTCAGTGCGGTTGGGTGGCTGACACGTTTTTGGGGACGAATCCCTTTACTCAGAGCTTGTTCACAATATGAAGGGAGACAATATAACAACAATACAGTTCAATACAAGAGGGTTAGGAGGGGCTGATCCTGGGAGCTTACAATCTAAGAGGGGGAGGGGGCTGATCCTGGGAGTTTACAATCTAGGAGGGAGGGCCTGATCCTGGGAGCTTACAATATAAGAGGGAGGGGATGATCCTGGGAGCTTACAATATAAGAGGGAGGGTCTGATCCTGGGAGTTTACAATATAAGAGGGAGGGGCTGATCCTGGGAGCTTACAATATAAGAGGGAGGGGCTGATCCTGGGAGCTTACAATATAAGAGGGAGGGTCTGATCCTGGGAGCTTACAATATAAGAGGGAGGGGCTGATCCTGGGAGCTTACAATATAAGAGGGAGGGGCTGATCCTGGGAGCTTACAATATAAGAGGGAGGGCCTGATCCTGGGAGCTTACAATCTAAGAGGGAGGGGCTGATCCTGAGAGCTTACAATCTAAGAGGGAGGGGACTGATCCTGGGAGTTTACAATCTAAGAGGGAGTCGCTGATCCTGGGAGCTTACAATCTAAGAGGGGGAGGGGCTGATCCTGGGAGCTTACAATCTAAGAGGGAGGGGCTGATCCTGGGAGTTTACAATCTAAGAGGGAGGGCCTGATCCTGGGAGCTTACAATCTAAGAGGGAGGGGCTGATCCTGGGAGCTTACAATCTAGGAGGGGGGGCTGATCCTGGGAGCTTACAATCTAAGAGGGAGGGCCTGATCCTGGGAGTTTACAATCTAAGAGGGAGGGGCCTGATCCTGGGAGCTTACAATCTAAGAGGGAGGGCCTGATCCCGGGAGCTTACAATCTAATTTTTTGCACTATAAACAAGAAAAGACCGACAATTCGAGAAAAAAAAACAATATTAAACATGTCCAGTAAATTTATTTTAAAAAAAAAAATCAAATTTCGTCATAAATTTTGGCCAAAATGTCTCCCGCTCCGTGTCTTCGCTAAAAACAAAATCCCGATACGTGTAAATTAATTGGTTTACATGAAAGTTATAGCGTCTACAAATGGTGGGATGGATACTGGGATTTTTTTTTTTTTTTGTAATAGTAATGGCTGCAATCAGAGACTTCTAGCGGGACTGCGGCGGGCATTCTGACACTGGGGGGGGGGACTGATTTGGTGTCATTGATCATTGTATTGGTGTCACTGGGGATGTCAGTGTTAATAAAAAGCACTGACACTGTACTAATGGCACTGGGCAGGAAGGAGTTAACATGAGGGGGCGATCAAAGGGTTAACGGTGTCCTGTGTGTGTGCTTCACTGTGCGCATGCTGCTATGCAGAGCCATACAAAGCAGCGTGCAGGGGAGAGTTCTTTGTTGTTTATACACAGGTCTCTCCCCCCATCAGAGATACTCAGCGATCGCCGGGTTTCTTGTGAGTAATCACTGACCGGGACTCGGCGATTGACAGTCAAGGTGACGAATGCAGCGCGGGTAGGGCGTACGCGTGCTCCCTTCCCAGAACTGCAAAATCGTGTGTCGAAGTGATTTTGCGCACCCATGCCGCCCTGTATCAGTATTTCTACTATAGGGTGGTGCGGAAATGGAAAATGCGCAAAAATAAAATGAATATGTATTACCCATTTTTTTTGTAAAATATAAAAGATGTCACGCCAAGGAAATAGATACCTAACATGTCAGGCATTAAAATTGCGCACGCTCGTGGAATGGCGCAAAAAACTACGACACTTAAAGTGGTTGTTCAAAAGATGACAATTGATGTCGTCGCGCCCTTGCAGAGCGTGTGCAGGAAAAGTGACGTGTGCAGCGTGGTGTGAATGAGCCCCAAGTAGGTAACCTATTCACCCAAGAGGCCTCAGAAGATATGGGGAAAAAGTATCAGATTTTGTCCTGAACGCTTCTTGGGGCCCCACTGGAAGTCTGGCCAAAAAACGAGCATTTAGAATTCCCCACATCTTGCCTTGTTGCTAGGATGCAAAAAACCATCGGAGTCTCGCTGCCAGCGTTACAGGAGTGAAAACCAACAATCTTCGCATCCTAGCAACCATGCAAGACGCAGGGAACGCGAACGAAGAGTTTTTCTGCCCGGCTTCCGGGGGCCCGCATGGCCTGCATGGATAAATGTCATGCAGATTGTTAACCACTTCAGCTCCAGAAGATTTACCCCCTTCATGACCAGGACACTTTTTTCATATTCAGCACTGCCCTTCTTTAACCCGGAAATTGCACGGTCATACAACACTGGACACTGCAGGGGGGGGGGGGGGGGGCAGGTCCCTGAATGCATCTCTAGCAATATTGTCAGTTAATTTTTTATTTTTTTTTTTCTTTGGTGTCAAATGCGTTTTGCATTCGCCGTTAATTCCTGTCCTGATGACAAAAGTCAACAACTGACGGGGGAAGGGGGGGGATCTTCCCAGTGGGGGTCCTACAGTTAGCTGTCCCTTGAAAAATGGTTTCTACTATTTAATAAAAGTGTAAATGTGCTGATAAAAGAATCCGAATTCTGTATTTGTAATCTTGATGTATTGTGACCACCAATGTGTCTGCATCGCGCCATCCGATGATTCAATATTAACGCCGATTCTTTGTTTTCTTCCAGCTGGCGTATTGTGTAGTACAGTTCTTAGAGAAGGACAGCACCCTGACCGAGCCGGTGAGAGGACTCCTCTAATATCATTCCCAACCAGGGATCTCCCACTTATTACTGGGGGGTTCTGTGAGCTGTGACCACCGACCCCCAATGTACGGGACATTAATCCCAATGACCCCCAATGTAAGGGACATCCTTCCCACTGACCTCCAATGTAAGGGACATTCTTCCCAATGACCCCCAATGTACGGGACATTCTTCCCACTGACCCCCAATGTAAGGGACATTCTTCCCAATGACCCCCAATGTACGGGACATTCTTCCCACTGACCCCCAATGTAAGGGACATTCTTCCCACTGATCTCCAATGTAAGGGACATCCTTCCCACTGACCTCCAATGTAAGGGACATTCTTCCCAATGACCCCCAATGTACGGGACATTCTTCCCACTGACCCCCAATGTAAGGGACATTCTTCCCACTGACCTCCAATGTAAGGGACATCCTTCCCACTGACCTCCAATGTAAGGGACATTCTTCCCAATGACCCCCAATGTACGGGACATTCTTCCCACTGACCCCCAATGTAAGGGACATTCTTCCCACTGACCCCCAATGTAAGGGACATTCTTCCCACTGACCCCCAATGTAAGGGACATTCTTCCCACTGACCCACAATGTAAGGGACATTCTTCCCACTGACCCCCAATGTAAGGGACATTCTTCCCACTGACCCCCAATGTACGGGACATTCTTCCCACTGACCCCCCAATGTAAGGGACATTCTTCCCACTGACCTCCAATGTAAGGGACATTCTTCCCACTGACCCCCCAATGTAAGGGACATTCTTCCCACTGACCTCCAATGTAAGGGACATTCTTCCCACTGACCCCCAATGTAAGGGGCATTCTTCCCACTGACCACCAATGTAAGGGACATTCTTCCCTCTGACCCCCCAATGTAAGGGACATTCTTCCCACTGACCCCCAATGTAAGGGACATTCTTCCCACTGACCCCCAATGTAAGGGACGTTCTTCCCACTGACCCCAATGTAAGGGACATTCTTCCCACTGACCCCCAATGTAAGGGACATTCTTCCCACTGACCCCCAATGTAAGGGACATTCTTCCCACTGACCACCAATGTAAGGGACATTCTTCCCACTGACCCCCCAATGTAAGGGACATTCTTCCCACTGACCCCCAATGTAAGGGACATTCTTCCCACTGACCCCCAATGTAAGGGACATTCTTCCCACTGATCACCAATGTAAGGGACATTCTTCCCACTGACCCCCAATGTAAGGGACATTCTTCCCACTGACCACCAATGTAAGGGACGTTCTTCCCACTGACCCCCCAATGTAAGGGACGTTTCTTCCCACTGACCCCCCAATGTAAGGTACATTCTTCCCACTGACCCCCAATGTAAGGAACATTCTTCCCACTGACCCCCAATGTAAGGGACATTCTTCCCACTGACCCCCAATGTAAGGGACATTCTTCCCACTGACCCCCAATGTAAGGGACATTCTTCCCACCTGACCCCCAATGTAAGGGACATTCTTCCCACTGACCCCCAATGTAAGGGACATTCTTCCCACTGACCCCCAATGTAAGGGACATTCTTCCCACTGACCCCCCCAATGTAAGGGACATTCTTCCCCCTGACCACCAATGTAAGGGACATTCTTCCCCCTGACCCCCAATGTAAGGGACATTCTTCCCACTGATCACCAATGTAAGGGACATTCTTCCCACTGACCCCCAATGTAAGGGACATTCTTCCCACTGACCCCCAATGTAAGGGACATTCTTCCCACTGACCCCCCCAATGTAAGGGACATTCTTCCCACCGACCCCCAATGTAAGGGACATTCTTCCCACTGACCCCCAATGTAAGGGACATTCTTACCCCCCCACTGACCCCCCAATGTAAGGGACATTCTTCCCACTGATCACCAATGTAAGGGACATTCTTCACACTGACCACCAATGTAAGGGACATTCTTCCCACTGACCCCCAATGTAAGGACGTTCTTCCCACTGACCCCCAATGTAAGGGACATTCTTCCCACTGACCCCCAATGTAAGGGACATTCTTCCCACTGACCCCCAATGTAAGGGACATTCTTCCCACTGACCCCCAATGTAAGGGACATTCTTCCCACTGACCACCAATGTAAGGGACATTCTTCCCACTGACCCCCAATGTAAGGGACATTCTTCCCACTGACCCCCCAATGTAAGGGACATTCTTCCCACTGACCCCCAATGTAAGGGACATTCTTCCCACTGATCACCAATGTAAGGGACATTCTTCCCACTGACCCCCAATGTAAGGGACATTCTTCCCACTGATCACCAATGTAAGGGACGTTCTTCCCACTGACCCCCCAATGTAAGGGACATTCTTCCCACTGACCCCCCAATGTAAGGGACATTCTTCCCACTGAACCCCCAATGTAAGGAACGTTCTTCCCACTGACCCCCAATGTAAGGGACATTCTTCCCACTGACCCCCAATGTAAGGGACATTCTTCCCACTGACCCCCAATGTAAGGGACATTCTTCCCACCGACCCCCCAATGTAAGGGACATTCTTCCCACTGACCCCCCCATGTAAGGGACATTCTTCCCACTGATCTCCAATGTAAGGGACATTCTTCCCACTGATCCCCAATGTAAGGGACATTCTTCCCACCGACCCCCAATGTAAGGGACATTCTTCCCACTGACCCCCAATGTAAGGGACATTCTTCCCACTGATCACCAATGTAAGGGACATTCTTCCCACTGACCCCCAATGTAAGGGACATTCTTCCCACTGACCCCCAATGTAAGGGACATTCTTCCCACTGATCACCAATGTAAGGGACATTCTTCCCCCCTGACCCCCAATGTAAGGGACATTTCTTCCCACTGATCACCAATGTAAGGGACATTCTTCCCACTGACCCCCAATGTAAGGGACATTCTTCCCACTGACCCCCAATGTAAGGGACATTCTTCCCACTGACCCCCCCAATGTAAGGGACATTCTTCCCACCGACCCCCAATGTAAGGGACATTCTTCCCACTGACCCCCAATGTAAGGGACATTCTTCCCCCCACTGACCCCCCAATGTAAGGGACATTCTTCCCACTGATCACCAATGTAAGGGACATTCTTCACACTGACCACCAATGTAAGGGACGTTCTTCCCACTGACCCCCAATGTAAGGGACGTTCTTCCCACTGACCCCCAATGTAAGGGACATTCTTCCCACTGACCCCCCAATGTAAGGGACATTCTTCCCACTGATCACCAATGTAAGGGACATTCTTCCCACTGACCCCCAATGTAAGGGACATTCTTCCCACTGACCCCCAATGTAAGGGATGGGGGTCACATGAACGGTGATCCATTTAAATATATGTATCAGAAAATGATGAACATTTGTGGTCTTTCAGTCTATGGGACAGACTATGACAATGTTTGGCTGTTCTGGAAGTGTAGCTGGGACTGGAGGAGACGTGTTCACAGACAACACAGACAGTCCTCCTTTCGGACGCTCCTCATATGGGGTTCCAGGATTTGCTGTAATTGGGGTCTCTCTTCCTCCGCAGGTGGTGATGGCTCTGCTCAAGTATTGGCCGAAGACTCACAGTCCGAAGGAAGTCATGTTTTTTAAACGAATTAGAGGAAATTTTAGACGTCATAGAACCCTCAGAATTTGTAAAGGTCATGGAGCCGCTCTTCCGGCAGCTCGCCAAGTGTGTGTCCAGCCCGCACTTCCAGGTACGCCGTGACGTCTGATGTCACGTTTACAGCATTCCATCTCAGTATGTTAGGGTGCCGCTGCAGTGCGGCTCGTGTTTTGGGGTCACCAGAGTAGTGCTGCATGGATTTGGTATAAAGTGTGGTTAAGTCACGGTCACAGCGCTGCGATTTTAACCCCCTTCCAGTCCGGACACTTCCCCACCCCCACCCCCTTCCAGTCCAGACACTTTTCCCCCCCTTCCAGTCCGGACACTTTCCCCCCCTTCCAGTCCGGACACTTTCCCCCCCCTTCCAGTCCGGACACTTTTCCCCCCTTCCAGTCCGGACACTTTCCCCCCCTTCCAGTCCGGACACTTTCCCCCCCTTCCAGTCCAGACACTTCCCCCCCCTTCCAGTCCGGACACTTTCCCCCCCTTCCAGTCCGGACACTTTCCCCCCCTTCCAGTCCGGACGCTTTCCCCCCCCCTTCCAGTCCGGACGCTTTCCCCCCCCTTCCAGTCCGGACATTTCCCCCCCCCCCCTTCCAGTCCGGACATTTCCCCCCCCCCCTTCCAGTCCGGACACTTCCCCCCCCCCCCCCTTCCAGTCCGGACACTTCCCCCCCCCCCCCCCCCTTCCAGTCCGGACACTTCCCCCCCCTTCCAGTCCGGACGCTTTCCCCCCCCCTTCCAGTCCGGACATTTCCCCCCCCTTCCAGTCCGGACATTTCCCCCCCTTCCAGTCCGGACACTTCCCCCCCCCCTTCCAGTCCGGACACTTCCCCCCCCCCCCCCTTCCAGTCCGGACGCTTTCCCCCCCCTTCCAGTCCGGACACTTCCCCCCTTCCAATCTGGACACTCAGCCCCCCCCCCCCCCCCCTCGCCAATTTTCAGCTGTCAGCGCTGTCACACTTTGAAGGACAATTGCGCGGTCATGCAACACTGTACCCAGATGAATTTTTTTTGAGACAGATAAAGCTTTATTTTGGTGGTATTTATTCACTGCTGGGATTTTTATTTTTTTTGCTATATAAATGAAAAAGTCCACAAATTTGAAAAATAAAAGTGTTTTTCTTAAAAAAAATTTTGCAAATAAATAATCTTTCTTCATAAATCTCGGCCAAAATGTATTCAGCTATCTTTGTGTCCTCCCGGATCGCAGTGCTACGCACTATGCTATGCTACGGTATGACCCGGACACTTAAGGTGGAAGTCCAGATTTTGAGAATCGCCCCTCCCCCACCCCAATTCAGCTTTGTGCTCTTTAAGTCATTTGTGCTCAGACATGATTGAGGTTTGGTGCCCCCCCCCCCCCCCCCCCCCCCCCGGGGACACATTCAGCAGCCTCAGTAAACGTGACAATAACAGCGACATTCGTACCTACCTAAGTGCACGTTCACCTTCAGTAACATTTTCCAAAATCCCCCCTATGTCACGCCATACCCTTTTGAATGGTACATATCGGCGCTCCTCCTTTTTCAGATGCTCCTCCTTCTCTCCATTACACATGCAGCCATGGGGGGGTCTGCACAATTTAATGGCTGGCTCCTCCATCCCCCCTCCGTCCAATACAGTCATGCGCCCCCTAGTGGCTGCTCCAGGCCATTGGAATGACACTCCTCTAGCTGCGGGGGGTTGAGCTTGTCTAGAGAAGGAGAGGGTGCACCATTATGGTATCCAGCCCCTCCTGAACACAGCAGAATAGAAGGGGGGGGGGGGGGGGGCATGACGTCATTACGTATGCTGGGAGCAGCTGCAGGACTTGTAACAGGAGGAGCACCGATGGGGTTCAGGGGGTATGAAGCTGCTTGGAGGGATTTTTGGAAAATGTTGCTGAAGGTCAACTTACAACTTCCATTTTTTTCTGAAGTGATCTCCCTTCTCTGTCTTACATTATGAGCTGAGAATGGAAAACTAAAACATTTCTGTCACATTGTTCTTGTCAGTGTTCAGCAGAAGCATTATGCCGGCTGCAGGGGAACCCCGCTCTGTTGTTCATGTTCCCCCAGAACAGGATAGTGTTAGGACCTGTTTACTCCATCTGTTTGCAGAAACACACAAACCCCTCCCCCTCCAGAGGATCCCCCCCCCTCCCCCTCCAGAGGATTCCCCCCCCCCCCTCCCCCTCCAGAGGATTCCCCCCCCCCCCTCCCCCTCCAGAGGATTCCCCCCCCTCCCCCTCCAGAGGATTCCCCCCCCCCTCCCCCTCCAGAGGATTCCCCCCCCTCCCCCTCCAGAGGATTCCCCCCCCTCCCCCTCCAGAGGATTCCCCCCCCCCTCCCCCTCCAGAGGATTCCCCCCCCTCCCCCTCCAGAGTAAATCCCCCCCCCTCCCCCTCCAGAGGATTCCCCCCCTCCTCCCTCTCCAGAGGATCCTCCTCCCTCTCCAGAGTATTTCCCCCCCCCCCCCCCTCTCCAGAGTATTTCCCCCCCCCCTCTCCAGAGTATTTCCCCCCCCCTCTCCAGAGTATTCCCCCCCCCCTCCAGAGTATTTCCCCCCCCCCCTCTCCAGAGTATTACCCCCCCCCCCCCTCTCCAGAGGATTCCCCCCCCCCTCTCCAGAGGATTCCCCCCCCTCTCTCTCTCCAGAGGATTCCCCCCCCCCTCCCTCTCCAGAGGATTCCCCCCCCTCTCCTCTCCAGAGGATTCCCCCCCCTCTCTCTCCAGAGGATTCCCCCCCCTCTCTCTCCAGAGGATTCCCCCCCCTCTCTCTCCAGAGGATTCCCCCACCTCCCTCTCCAGAGGATTTCCCCCCCCCCTCCCCCTCCAGAGGATTCCCCTCCCGATTTCCCCCTCCAGAGGATTCCCCTCCCGATTCCCCCCTCCAGAGGATTCCCCTCCCGATTTCCCCCCTCCAGAGGATTCCCCTCCCGATTCCCCCCTCCAGAGGATTCCCCTCCCGATTCCCCCCTCCAGAGGATTCCCCCCTCTTCCCCCCTCCAGAGGATTCCCCCCTCTTCCCCCTCCAGAGGATTCCCCCCTCTTCCCCCTCCAGAGGATTCCCCCCTCTTCCCCCTCCAGAGGATTCCCCCCCCTCTTCCCCCCTCCAGAGGATTCCCCCCTCTTCCCCCTCCAGAGGATTCCCCCATCTTCCCCCTCCAGAGGATTCCCCCATCCTCCCCCCCTCCAGAGGAATTCCCCCCCTCGCTCTCCAGAGGATTCCCCCCTCTTCCCCCTCCAGAGGATTCCCCCATCCTCCCCCTCCAGTGGAATTCCCCCCCCCCTCGCTCTCCAGAGGAATTCCCCCCCTCGCTCTCCAGAGGATTCCCCCCTGCCCCTCCAGAGGATTCCCCCCTCCTTCCTAAACCAAGCCATTTTTTTGCGTTACTGCGCTGCATTACTTTTCTGGACAATTGCGCGGTCATGCTGCGCTGCACCTAAATGAAATGTACAACCTTTTTTAGTAATGGCGGCGATCAGCGACAGCAGTGTGCAGGAGCTGACGGGAGAGATCTGTATTGTTTACAAACCGTTCTCCTCCGCCCCCCCCATCGGAGATGCTCCGCAATCACCGGGCACCAGTGAGTAATCATGGGCCAGGACCCGGTGACTGAGAGCCGTGAGTTTCCTAAGAGATATATATGTGATTTAGTGCTCCCGTCCGCACCGTAGCAGCACTTCTTGTACAAGGTGGACGGGAAGCAGTTTAGGGTGTTGTGGTGCCTTTCGCTCAGACTGACGGGAAATCCTCGCCTCACCGTCAGTAGCTGCTTCGACTGGTCCTGATCTACAAGTTGTGGACATCAGTGTTGAGGGTTTTCACTTTCACACGGAGTTTATACTTTAGATGGCCAAGCTGCTCCATACCAGAAAAGGGAGGGTGGTGGTAGTCCCCGGAGATGCCTGGTAGTCCCCGGAGATGCCTGGTAGTCCCCGGAGATGCCTGGTAGTCCCCGGAGATGCCTGGTAGTCCCCGGAGATGCCTGGTAGTCCCGGAGATGCCTGGTAGTCCCCGGAGATGCCTGGTAGTCCCCGGAGATGGCTGGTAGTCCCCGGAGATGGCTGGTAGTCCCCGGAGATGGCTGGTAGTCCCCGGAGATGCCTGGTAGTCCCCGGAGATGCCTGGTAGTCCCTTTCACACAGTCTGTCTATAGGTAGGTATGGGGTAATACCTGGTGGTATAGTAGTGGGGGTGGATTGGGGTGTCTATAGGTGGGTATGGGGTAATACCTGGTGGTATAGTAGTGGGGGTGGATTGGGGTGTCTATAGGTGGGTATGGGGTAATACCTGGTGGTATAGTAGGGGGTGGATTGGGGTGTCTATAGGTGGGTATGGGGTAATACCTGGTGGTATAGTAGTGGGGGTGGATTGGGGTGTCTATAGGTGGGTATGGGGTAATACCTGGTGGTATAGTAGTAGTGGGGGTGGATTGGGGTGTCTATAGGTGGGTATGGGGTAAATACCTGGTGGTATAGTAGTAGTGGGGGTGGATTGGGGTGTCTATAGGTAGGTATGGGGTAATACCTGGTGGTATAGTAATGGGGGGGGGGGGATTGGGGTGTCTATAGGTATGTATGGGGTAATACCTGGTGGTATAGTAATGGGGGGGGGGTGGATTGGGGTGTCTATAGGTGGGTATGGGGTAATACCTGGTGGTATAGTAGTGGGGGGGGATTGGGGTGTCTATAGGTGGGTATGGGGTAATACCTGGTGGTATAGTAGGGGGGGGGATTGGGGTGTCTATAGGTGGGTATGGGGTAATACCTGGTGGTATAGTGGGGGGGGGGTGGATTGGGGTGTCTATAGGTAGGTATGGGGTAATACCTGGTGGTATAGTAGTGGGGGGGGATTGGGGTGTCTATAGGTGGGTATGGGGTAATACCTGGTGGTATAGTGGGGGGGGGGTGGATTGGGGTGTCTATAGGTGAGTATGGGGTAATACCTGGTGGTATAGTGGGGGGGGGGGGTGGATTGGGGTGTCTATAGGTAGGTATGGGGTAATACCTGGTGGTATAGTAGTGGGGGGGGGGATTGGGGTGTCTATAGGTGGGTATGGGGTAATACCTGGTGGTATAGTAGTGGGGGTGGATTGGGGTGTCTATAGGTGGGTATGGGGTAATATCTGGTGGTATAGTGGGGGGGGGGGATTAAGGTGTCTATAGGTGGGTATGGGGTAATACCTGGTGGTATAGTGGGGGGGGGGGGGGGTGGATTGGGGTGTCTATAGGTGGGTATGGGGTGATACCTGGTGGTATAGTGTGGGGGGGGGGGGGGATTGGGGTGTCTATAGGTAGGTATGGGGTAATATCTGGTGGTATAGTGGGGGGGGGGGATTAAGGTGTCTATAGGTGGGTATGGGGTGATACCTGGTGGTATAGTAGTGGGGGTGGATTGGGGTGTCTATAGGTGGGTATGGGGTAATACCGGGTGGTATAGTGGGGGGGGGGGATTGGGGTGTCTATAGGTGGGTATGGGGTGATACCTGGTGGTATAGGGGGGGGGGGGAGGATTGGGGTGTCTATAGGTAGGTATGGGGTAATACCGGGTGGTATAGTGGGGGGGGGGATTGGGGTGTCTATAGGTAGGTATGGGGTGATACCTGGTGGTATAGTAGTGGGGGTGGATTGGGGTGTCTATAGGTGGGTATGGGGTGATACCTGGTGGTATAGTGGGGGGGGGGATTGGGGTGTCTATAGGTAGGTATGGGGTGATACCTGGTGGTATAGTGGGGGGGGGATTGGGGTGTCTATAGGTAGGTATGGGGTGATACCTGGTGGTATAGTGGGGGGGGGGGGGGGATTGGGGTGTCTATAGGTAGGTATGGGGTAATACCTGGTGGTATAGTGGGGGGGAGGGGTGGATTGTGGTGTTTTCTTCACTTTCTAACACATTCTGAAATCCTCTCTCTTCCTCCCTTCATGTAAGTCGTATTATTTTTCAGGCGATAGAAGTGGAATATTTGGGGTATTAATTCCTGTGTTCTGTTGCAGGTGGCGGAGCGAGCGTTATATTACTGGAACAACGAATACATCATGAGTCTAATCAGCGATAACGCAGCTAAAATCCTCCCCATTATGTTCCCATCATTGTACCGGAACTCCAAGACACATTGGAACAAGTAAGAGAACGGTGTTTCTGGGCCTGTGATGCTCCGTGTATCCCGGTCGGGGTAAAGTTCATCGTCGGTCATAGCCGGGCTTGTATAGAATGTAGAAGGTGTTTGATGGTCATCCGGGTGGTTTTCCCCATTTCCTCTGTAGGTGACCCGTAGTGCTTTGAGAATCCTTTGTTGTGTATTTCATGATAATTTGTAGATCTGTAGACCTATGCAGGCCATAGATGGGTCAAAAACCGGCTTTTTTTTTTTTTTTGAAAAAAAAAAAAAAAAATCGGGTCGTTCAATAGGCTGACATTCCCACCAAGGTGAAAAAAATCGGCCTATTTTCGTCCCGTCTACGGCCGGCATTTAATCACTTCTGTCCCTGCAGAGATCCGCTATTATATTTGACATGAAAAAGTCTTGCGGTTGCAACAATGTATCCATTACAGATGGTTTTATTTGGATACAAATGGATACATTGTTGCAACCGCAAGACTTTCATATAAAATATAATAGCGGACTGGAATTTTTCATCCTCCTCCCTCCTCCTCCTCCGTGCAGATTTTTGCATTAAAAAACGGCCGCCGACCAATTAACCCATTAATGGTGCGAAAATCTGCCAATTTTCGACCCATCTATGGCCTGCAATAGTAAGGCACAGAAGCTCCTCCCCTTTTTCTCATCTCCATGACATATTTTGCTCGGGATCTCAGGCAGTGTTGTCATGTCACTACAGGAAACTAGGTGTGCTCCGGGTTTCTGGCAGGATCGTTGGCTATTAAGTTTGATTTGTCATCAGATCGAGAATGGAGAGAAATCTTCCAATTTGCTCCTTTTACTAGTGAGAACAAAGAGGGGATTTACATGGGAGCAGCACTGAAGGACGGGGTGGCCGAGGCCAGAGCTGGGCTTTCATCACAACGGGGACCTCGAAATACATAGATCAGCTGATGGTCTACAGGATGGTGGAAGTAGAAGAATCGGCTCATTGGGTTCTATTTTCTGTCATCGGATTTCTTCGTCTCCTCCGTCCGCTGTTCCAGGCTCCCCTCCGTCCGCTGTTCCAGGCTCCCCTCCGTCCGCTGTTCCAGGCTCCCCTCCGTCCGCTGTTCCAGGCTCCCCTCCGTCCGCTGTTCCAGGCTCCCCTCCGTCCGCTGTTCCGGGCTCCCCTCCGTCCGCTGTTCCGGGCTCCCCTCCGTCCGCTGTTCCAGGCTCCCTTTGTCCGCTGTTCCAGGCTCCCTTTGTCCGCTGTTCCAGGCTCCCCTCCGTCCGCTGTTCCAGGCTCCCCTCCGTCCGCTGTTCCAGGCTCCCCTCCGTCCGCTGTTCCAGGCTCCCCTTGTCCGCTGTTCCAGGCTCCCCTCCGTCCGCTGTTCCAGGCTCCCCTCCGTCCGCTGTTCCAGGCTCCCCTCCGTCCGCTGTTCCAGGCTCCCCTCCGTCCGCTGTTCCAGGCTCCCCTCCGTCCGCTGTTCCAGGCTCCCCTCCGTCCGCTGTTCCAGGCTCCCTTTGTCCGCTGTTCCAGGCTCCTTTGTCCGCTGTTCCAGGCTCCCCTCCGTCCGCTGTTCCAGGCTCCCTTCCGTCCGCTGTTCCAGGCTCCCCTCCGTCCGCTGTTCCAGGCTCCCCTCCGTCCGCTGTTCCAGGCTCCCCTCCGTCCGCTGTTCCAGGCTCCCCTCCGTCCGCTGTTCCAGGCTCCCCTCCGTCCGCTGTTCCAGGCTCCCTTTGTCCGCTGTTCCAGGCTCCCCTCCGTCCGCTGTTCCAGGCTCCCCTCCGTCCGCTGTTCCAGGCTCCCCTCCGTCCGCTGTTCCAGGCTCCCCTCCGTCCGCTGTTCCAGGCTCCCTTTGTCCGCTGTTCCAGGCTCCCTCCGTCCGCTGTCCCGGGCTCCCCCCGTCCGCTGTCCCGGGCTCCCCCCCGTCCGCTGTCCCGGGCTCCCCTCCGTCCGCTGTCCCGGGCTCCCCTCCGTCCGCTGTCCCGGGCTCCCCTCCGTCCGCTGTTCCGGGCTCCCCTCCGTCCGCTGTTCCGGGCTCCCCTCCGTCCGCTGTTCCGGGCTCCCCTCCGTCCGCTGTTCCGGGCTCCCCTCCGTCCGCTGTTCCGGCCTCCCCTCCGTCCGCTGTTCCGGGCTCCCCTCCGTCCGCTGTTCCGGGCTCCCCTCCGTCCGCTGTTCCGGGCTCCCTCCGTCCGCTGTCCCGGGCTCCCCCCGTCCGCTGTCCCGGGCTCCCTCCGTCCGCTGTTCCGGGCTCCCCTCCGTCCGCTGTTCCGGGCTCCCCTCCGTCCGCTGTTCCGGGCTCCCCTCCGTCCGCTGTTCCGGGCTCCCCTCCGTCCGCTGTTCCGGGCTCCCCTCCTACCCCTGTTCCGGGCTCCCCTCCGTCCCCTGTTCCGATCTCCCCTCCATCCCCTGTTCCAGCCTCCATCCTCAGATCTGGGCTCTGTCCATAGCTGGGAGGTTACATGGCCGCTGCCGTCATCCAGGAACTCTGTTCAGGAAGAGATACTAATTGGCTGCCTCTGCCGGAACACATTTCCTGGATAATGACGGGCCATGCGAACCTCCTGCCGGGCCGAGAGCCAGAGGGAGTCTGGAGCCGCTATTAGGTCACCAAGAACCCAACTCTTTAGTGGTGGATTGCTTGTTAGGTGGCGGGGAGCCCGAGTGTCACCAGAGATTTAGGTCTGTATTTTGCATTCTCTCTTTGGGTCGGTCAGCAGATATTTAGTCCTTGATCAGGATGGCAGTTCTGGAGAACGCAGCAATGGCAGTTACCACGTTTCTGTCCCGGACGGCTTCATTCAAAGTGAATCTGTCAGTGAATCCTTCACAGGAATCAATACTGCCCTCGTCTGCATTGCCCGCCTATAACATTCTACTTCCTTCTTTCCTCTTTGGATTGGAATATATTTTGCCTTTCTGATCCTCTTCCCACTGCAAGCCTACGAAAAACGTCAGTCTGCCTGCAACAAACTGGCTGCAGTCTCTTGTAATGTGAAACACCCACAGTGCCCCGATGGTAGAGACCATGTGATCTAGTCTGCTTGGTCCAACGCTCACTTCTGGGAGCAGCGGGTTTTTTTTTTTTAAATCCATGACGAGAAAACAATATCCTTTAATACCCAAAATGATGTTTGTGTGGTAATGTTTACACATTGGCAGTTGATTCATGAAATATGCATTTTAATGGTTACTTCAAATTAAGACCATTATGAGAAAGAGCAGACGGTCCACCGGGAGGGGCGGTGAAGAGCAGACAATCCACCGGGAGGGGCGGTGAAGAGCAGACAACCCACCGGGAGTGGCTGCGAAGAGCAGACGGTCCATCGGGAGGGGCGGTGAAGAGCAGACAATCCACCGGGAGGGGCGGTGAAGAGCAGACAATCCACCGGGAGGGGCGGTGAAGAGCAGACAATCCACCGGGAGGGGCGGTGAAGAGCAGACAATCCACCGGGAGGGGCGGTGAAGAGCAGACAATCCACCGGGAGGGGCGGTGAAGAGCAGACAATCCACCGGGAGGGGCGGTGAAGAGCAGACAATCCACCGGGAGGGGCGGTGAAGAGCAGACAATCCACCGGGAGGGGCGGTGAAGAGCAGACAATCCACCGGGAGGGGCGGTGAAGAGCAGACAATCCACCGGGAGGGGCGGTGAAGAGCAGACAATCCACCGGGAGGGGCGGTGAAGAGCAGACAATCCACCGGGAGGGGCGGTGAAGAGCAGACAATCCACCGGGAGGGGCGGTGAAGAGCAGACAATCCACCGGGAGGGGCGGTGAAGAGCAGACAATCCACCGGGAGGGGCGGTGAAGAGCAGACAATCCACCGGGAGGGGCGGTGAAGAGCAGACAATCCACCGGGAGGGGCGGTGAAGAGCAGACAATCCACCGGGAGGGGCGGTGAAGAGCAGACAATCCACCGGGAGCGGCGGCGAAGAGCAGAATGTCAACCGGGAGGTGCTGCGAAGAGCAGACAGTCCACCGGGGGTGGCGGCGAGCCAGCAGACGGTCCACCGGAAGGAGGTGGCGGCGAGCCAGCAGACGGTCCACCAAGAGGGGGTGGCAGCAAAGAGCAGCGGGTCTACCGGGAGGGGCGGCGAAGAGCAGAAGCTCCAGTGGGAGGATTGGTGATCCTGTGGGAGGATTGGTGATCCTGTGGGTCACAGCACAGAGGAAGCCCAGGACGTTCTTCATACAGAGAACTCATATAGTTCCCTGGATTTGCTCTCCACCTGTCGGGCCGGCCTGACATTTGTGACCCGGATTACACACTGAAGGTCCCTGACATGTGGGGCTATGGAGGTGCAGTGCACCCAGGAGGGACAGGTTCAGTGTACAGCCCTCTACCTGCTGCCGGCCAGTCTATGGCAGGTTGGAGCTGTACTGACTGATCACTTTTAGGGCCCTCTGTGTTCCGGGATGAAGGTCAACAGCGCAGAAGACCTTCCATAGACGCATAAGGGCCTAAAACTGGTACCACCAGCGTTCAGCCTCGTCCAGCGTTCGGCCTCGTCCAGCATTCGGCCTCGTTCAGCCTCGTCCAGCGTTCGGCCTCGTCCAGCATTCGGCCTCGTCCAGCCTCGTTCAGCCTCGTCCAGCGTTCGGCCTCGTCCAGCGTTCGGCCTCGCCCAGCGTTCGGCCTCGTTCAGCCTCGTCCAGCGTTCGGCCTCGTCCAGCGTTCGGCCTCGTCCAGCGTTCGGCCTCGTCCAGCCTCGTTCAGCCTCGTCCAGCGTTCAGCCTCGTCCAGCCTCGTCCAGCGTTCGGCCTCGTCCAGCGTTCGGCCTCGTCCAGCGTTCAGCCTCGTCCAGCGTTCGGCCTCGTCCAGCGTTCAGCCTCGTCCAGCGTTCAGCCTCGTCCAGCGTTCAGCCTCGTCCAGCCTCGTCCAGCGTTCGGCCTCGTCCAGCGTTCGGCCTCGTCCAGCGTTCGGCCTCGTCCAGCGTTCGGCCTCGTTCAGCCTCGTCCAGCGTTCGGCCTCGTCCAGCGTTCGGCCTCGTCCAGCGTTCGGCCTCGTCCAGCGTTCAGCCTCCCACAGACTCTGACAGGCATGGGGCCGAACACTCTACGTTTCTCCTGTCCCTCCTGCACCTAGGTGGTCCCGAGTGTCGGGGCCCTAAAGCTGAAGCCCAGGCAGGCAGTTATTATGAGGATTTCCTGCACTGTACAGGGATGAGTAATGAGATTTGTTGGCTGTTTGGGGATTATTTTGGCTCCATCATCAGATTTCCCGTCATCTCTGATGTCTCCTTGTGTCTCCACCTTCCTAGGACCATCCATGGACTCATCTACAACGCCTTGAAGCTGTTTATGGAAATGAACCAAAAACTTTTCGATGATTGCACTCAGCAGTTCAAAGCAGAGAAACAAAAGTAAGTTCTGCCTTTTACATTCCCGTCCTCCTTTGTGTGCTCAGAGCTCTGCTTACCGCCATCGGGGTGTGTGGAGGCCGGGCTCTGCTTACCGCCATCGGGGTGTGTGGAGGCCGGGCTCTGCTTACCTCCATCGGGGTGTGTGGAGGCCGGGCTCTGCTTACTGCCATCGGGGTGTGTGGAGGCCGGCCTCTGCTTACTGCCATCGGGGTGTGTGGAGGCCGGGCTCTGCTTACTGCCATCGGGGTGTGTGGAGGCCGGGTTCTGCTTACCTCCATCGGGGTGTGTGGAGGCCGGGCTCTGCTTACCTCCATCGGGGTGTGTGGAGGCCGGGCTCTGCTTACCTCCATCGGGGTGTGTGGAGGCCGGGCTCTGCTTACTGCCATCGGGGTGTGTGGAGGCCGGGTTCTGCTTACTGCCATCGGGGTGTGTGGAGGCCGGGTTCTGCTTACCGCCATCGGGGTGTGTGGAGGCTGGCCTCTGCTTACCGCCATCGGGGTGTGTGGAGGCCGGGCTCTGCTTACTGCCATCGGGGTGTGTGGAGGCCGGGCTCTGCTTACCGCCATCGGGATGTGTGGAGGCTGGCCTCTGCTTACCGCCATCGGGGTGTGTGGAGGCCAGCCTCTGCTTTACTGCCATCGGGGTGTGTGGAGGCCGGGCTCTGCTTACCGCCATCGTGGTGTGTGGAGGCCGGCCTCTGCTTACTGCCATCGGGGTGTGTGGAGGCCGGCCTCTGCTTACTGCCATCAGGGTGTGTGGAGGCCGGGCTCTGCTTACCGCCATCGGGGTGTGTGGAGGCCGGGCTCTGCTTGCCGCCATCGGGATGTGTGGAGGCCGGGCTCTGCTTACCGCCATCGGGATGTGTGGAGGCCGGGCTCTGCTTGCCGCCATCGGGGTGTGTGGAGGCCGGGCTCTGCTTGCCGCCATCGGGGTGTGTGGAGGCCGGGCTCTGCTTGCCGCCATCGGGGTGTGTGGAGGCCGGGCTCTGCTTGCCGCCATCGGGGTGTGTGGAGGCCGGGCTCTGCTTGCCGCCATCGGGGTGTGTGGAGGCCGGGCTCTGCTTGCCGCCATCGGGGTGTGTGGAGGCCGGGCTCTGCTTGCCGCCATCGGGGTGTGTGGAGGCCGGGCTCTGCTTACCGCCATCGGGGTGTGTGGAGGCCGGGGCTCTGCTTGCCGCCATCGGGGTGTGTGGAGGCCGGGCTCTGCTTACCGTCATCTGGGTGTGTGGAGGCCGGGCTCTGCTTACCTCCATCGGGGTGTGTGGAGGCCGGGCTCTGCTTGCCACCATCGGGGTGTGTGGAGGCCGGGCTCTGCTTGCCGCCATCGGGGTGTGTGGAGGCCGGGCTCTGCTTACCGCCATCGGGGTGTGTGTGGAGGCCGGGCTCTGCTTGCCACCATCGGGTGTGTGGAGGCCGGGCTGAAGGATGGGCAGAAGTGATGTCCTCATTGGGTGCTTCATCAGCAGGAGGGTGTAACCTATATACTGCAGAGTTAGTATACAGCCAATGGCGGGAGGGGGGGGGGGGAGGGGTTGTCACCTGAAGGACCCGTCCTGACACCACGAGGACAACGTATTCTTCATGCTGCCAAATCAGGAAGTCTGAATCCTCCTTTACTGAGTGAGAGAGAACAGAAGATGGGAGGAGTCTGCACTGAGGGGGCGAGTCTTGTGGGAGGTTCAGGGGTCACCCCAGGCACATGTGACGGGATCGTTCAGCATACACGCCAGGCACATGTGACGGGATCGTTCAGCATACACGCCAGGCACATGTGACGGGATCGTTCAGCATACACGCCAGGCACATGTGACGGGATCGTTCAGCATACACGCCAGGCACATGTGACGGGATCGTTCAGCATACACGCCAGGCACATGTGACGGGATCGTTCAGCATACACGCCAGGCACATGTGACGGGATCGTTCAGCATACACGCCAGGCACATGTGACGGGATCGTTCAGCATACACGCCAGGCACATGTGACGGGATCGTTCAGCATACACGCCAGGCACATGTGACGGGATCGTTCAGCATACACACGCCAGGCACATGTGACGGGATCGTTCAGCATACACGCCAGGCACATGTGACGGGATCGTTCAGCATACAGGGCAGGCACATGTGACGGGATCGTTCAGCATACACGCCAGGCACATGTGACGGGATCGTTCAGCATACACCCCAGGAACATGTGACGGGATCGTTCAGCATACACGCCACACGCCAGGCACATGTGACGGGATCGTTCAGCATACACCCCAGGCACATGTGACGGGATCGTTCAGCATACACGCCAGGCACATGTGACGGGATCGTTCAGCATACACGCAAGGCACATGTGACGGGATTGTTCAGCATACACGCCAGGCACATGTGACGGGATCGTTCAGCATACACGCCAGGCACATGTGACGGGATCGTTCAGCATACACGCCAGGCACATGTGACGGGATCGTTCAGCATACAGGGCAGGCACATGTGACGGGATCGTTCAGCATACACGCCAGGCACATGTGACGGGATCGTTCAGCATACACGCCAGGCACATGTGACGGGATCGTTCAGCATACACGCCAGGCACATGTGACGGGATCGTTCAGCATACACGCCAGGCACATGTGACGGGATCGTTCAGCATACACGCCAGGCACATGTGACGGGATCGTTCAGCATACACGCCAGGCACATGTGACGGGATCGTTCAGCATACACGCCAGGCACATGTGACGGGATCGTTCAGCATACACACGCCAGGCACATGTGACGGGATCGTTCAGCATACACGCCAGGCACATGTGACGGGATCGTTCAGCATACACGCCAGGCACATGTGACGGGATCGTTCAGCATACACCCCAGGAACATGTGACGGGATCGTTCAGCATACACGCCAGGCACATGTGACGGGATCGTTCAGCATACACCCCAGGAACATGTGACGGGATCGTTCAGCATACACGCCAGGCACATGTGACGGGATCGTTCAGCATACACGCCAGGCACATGTGACGGGATCGTTCAGCATACACCCCAGGAACATGCGACGGGATCGTTCAGCATACACCCCAGGAACATGTGACGGGATCGTTCAGCATACAGGCCAGGCACATGTGACGGGATCGTTCAGCATACAGGCCAGGCACATGTGACGGGATCGTTCAGCATACACGCCAGGCACATGTGACGGGATCGTTCAGCATACACGCCAGGCACATGTGACGGGATCGTTCAGCATACACCCCAGGCACATGTGACGGGATCGTTCAGCATACACCCCAGGAACATGTGACGGGATCGTTCAGCATACACGCCAGGCACATGTGACGGGATCGTTCAGCATACACCCCAGGAACATGTGACGGGATCGTTCAGCATACACGCCAGGCACATGTGACGGTATCGTTCAGCATACACGCCAGGCACATGTGACGGTATCGTTCAGCATACACGCCAGGCACATGTGACGGGATCGTTCAGCATACAGGCCAGGCACATGTGACGGGATCGTTCAGCATACACGCCAGGCACATGTGACGGGATCGTTCAGCATACAGGGCAGGCACATGTGACGGGATCGTTCAGCATACACGCCAGGCACATGTGACGGGATCGTTCAGCATACACGCCAGGCACATGTGACGGGATCGTTCAGCATACACGCCAGGCACATGTGACGGGATCGTTCAGCATACACGCCAGGCACATGTGACGGGATCGTTCAGCATACACGCCAGGCACATGTGACGGGATCGTTCAGCATACACGCCAGGCACATGTGACGGGATCGTTCAGCATACACGCCAGGCACATGTGACGGGATCGTTCAGCATACAGGGCAGGCACATGTGACGGGGATCGTTCAGCATACAGGGCAGGCACATGTGACGGGATCGTTCAGCATACACGCCAGGCACATGTGACGGGATCGTTCAGCATACACGCCAGGCACATGTGACGGGATCGTTCAGCATACACGCCAGGCACATGTGACGGGATCGTTCAGCATACACGCCAGGCACATGTGACGAGATCGTTCAGCATACACGCCAGGCACATGTGACGGGATCGTTCAGCATACACGCCAGGCACATGTGACGGGATCGTTCAGCATACACGCCAGGCACATGTGATCCGTCTGCAGTACTCAGACTGGGCAGGTGGGCTGGATGGAAATCTGCTGACGAGTATAGAGATCACCTCATCAGTCTTCTGCTGTATATGTGGAGGGAGGAGCCATGGCTGTCACCTGGGCGGGACATGTCTTCTCCATTACATTGGGAATGAGGAGATTGGTGGATTACGGAAGGAAGACAGGACTGGTAACCCCTCGTCTACAGAGGTGCGTCTATAAACGCATGGCAGGCGGGTGGTCTGCTACTGACAGCTTGCTTCTGATCAGAGTGATCCGGTTGGCTCTAGACATCGGTGAGATGACATTTATGGGGCACAGAGGTTACCATCCCCCTCATTCCTCAGGGAAGCCATGGTCTGGGACAGGGTAGGCAACCTGCGGCTCTCTAGCTGTTGTGGAACTACATTTCCCATGAGGCATTGCAAAGATTACAAAACTGACAGTTACAGCTTTGACTTGCAGAGGCATGATGGAACTTGTAGTCCTGCGGCTCTCAGGTCTGGGGGAAACAGAGCGCAGGAGCAACTCGAGGAACAGCCATTCCCCAATCCCTCCTATGACAAGTGACCCCAGGAGGGATGTGCCACGCCCGGGGTCACCGCTGTCATTTCTCAGTGTAGCCGAGGATGCAGCTACTCCAGCGTGATCTGTGCTTCAATAGCTGCATTAGAGGCCATGGAAGACACTGGGGGCCTAATAGACCCCTGATATCTCCATAAAGAGGACCAGTCACCTGACCATGCTGTCGCACAGCGGATTTAGCCCTCTTGTGATGCAATAAAAGTGTTACAAAGTATATAAAATAAATATATGAAGAAAGCTGCTTTATGGACCCGATCACCCATACAGAAAATTCTCACCATCACA